TCTACATTGTGAATTTCGAAGAAGATTTTTTTTAAACGGATGTTTTATGTAGGTGATTAGGGAGTGGGGGATAGAGAGGGTCAGTTTTATTCTGAAAAGTGTATTATTATATTGTGTGTGTGTATTGTGCATGAGATCGTGTGTGTGAGTGTGTGTTCATGTGTCTGTGTTTATAATATGTGTGTGTGTGTGTGTGTGTGTGTATGTGTGTGTGTTTATGTGTGTTTGTTTTGGTGTATGTGTCTGCGTGTGTGTGCGTGCGTAACATAAAACATGTTATTACATAGACGACCAGATACAACAAAGAAATGCCTTGACAATCGCCATGTTGCGTTTATCTGCTATTTGTACAATCTTACATTAAATTTCTTCACGCAAAGACAACGGTTGGAGGAAAGAGATTCCAGAAAAAGTATCCCATAATCATGACTATTGGAATGGTGAAGCAAATCGCTAGACAGTTCAGAAAGACACAACTTAATGATTATTATTATGGTTCGGTTGATTGGAACCTGTAGTAATTGAGAGACAATACCATAGGAAGCAAAGAAGATGAACACACTACAGCGCCAGACTGATTTGAACTTTTGATATAAAAATCATTGGTACCACCTCATTAGAGGGTGCGGTGGCGGAGCGGTTAGTGCGCTCGTCTCTGAAACGGAAAGTCCGGGTTCAAGCTTCGGTTCGGACACGGATTTTTTTCGCCCCCTACAGCCCACAAAGCAGTAATGGGTACCTGACTTCGAATTTGGGAAGTAAAGGCGGCGTGGAAAGGAACTGGCCACCCTACCACAATATGCCGAAGGCCCAGGAAGTTGTCTGAGCACTAACAAGGCAATCCCAAATGTCTGGATCGGATGCGGAAAAAAAAATTTGACCACCTCATTACTCTGTTGCGAGTAGCGTATAACTCATGCTAAAAATAAACTAAACACATTATTTACCTTCATAAATCAACAAAGTACTCACCAAAATCCGGGGGCAGAATGAGAACTTTGTGTTTCAATTGGTGTATATGAGATGACCAGGAGTTTCTGTCTACATCGGTGACCACAGTCCGGGCAACTGGCGTGATAGCCATGGGTTCCACACTCTGAGAACTCATCCTGAGCTTGTCTTACACAAATCCTTGACAAATCAAAGTCAGACTCCACCGGTAGGAAAATATTCTACAATCTTGGAATTATATTTTACTCCCTGTTAAATAAAGTGAAAACCTATTAATTTAATGAGAATTTGACAGATTTTATAACTAAAGGTGAAATCCTCAACGCAACATGAACTTCCTATCTGTTGCGAATTAGATAGCTTTTATAATTAAAGGCGAATTTTCAACACAACACGAAGTTCCAATCTTTGGCTAGACCGTTAACTAAAGACTTATCGCAGTGTTTGAAGTGGTAGCTGTAATAATATTACGGTGCTGTTGTTCGCGTGCAGCGTGTGGGTACGGTGTGAGTATTAGTCGGTAGTCTTGTGGTTAGGCTATCGGACTCATAATCGTGAGGTTGCGAGTTCGGGGCTTCGAGCCTCAGGCCCAACGATGGGTTCTTGGGAAAAACACTTTACATGAATTTTCTTCCCTTCACCAAGGTGCGAATGGGGTGTTAATGTTTTAGCGCCTATAAATGGCACTGTATGCTTCCTGGGAAATTGAGATTGGTTCAGAAAGCTATCAGATTTGCTGGGGCAAGGTAATAATATACATTGTAAAGCATAGAGCTTGCTGTTGAGCGGAAATGTGTGCTATACAAATGCTATCTATTTATTACTATTATTAAAAACTCTACACGCACAGAGTCGATCTTTTAGTTTTTGAAAAAACTGTGTCCTGAGTCCTGATATTGTCTCAGAAATCGGAATAGATTAATGGTCACAATGGCTCCCCTTTAGTCGAACGCGTGGGTCTCAACTTGGTTTGGTTTATGTTAAAGTAAAAAGCAAGATGAAAAATCTTTTTATGTTTCATAAATGAAAAGTCTATAATAGCTTTGCAACGGTGTCAAACTTGTCTGGTCTAAAACACGAACACTGTCTGGGATTTTTTCAGCTAGCTTTTTGTTGTTGTTGTTGTTATTGTTGTTGTTGTTGTTGTTGTTTTATTTTTTATTTACTTTAATTACACCTCGCTGAACAAAGAAAAGCTCGTTTAAAACCGTTCAGATAAATAAAAGCACCAAAGGCAAACTCTTCAGCACGTGCATAATATTTCCCTTAGGAATGTCACAGCCGATAAGCTACCGAGACAGACACGGCTGTGTTTTAATGGTCTCCGTTGGTCCTTGTCCTGTGCTTGTTGCACCAATGATTATCTTCCGAAAACGCGATATTACAAGAGGTGGCAGAAAGGTAGATAAAGTTGAGTCTGTGTCACACGAAGTGACACAAGTGGTGGAAGGGGGGGGGGG